GGTGGACAGGGCTGCACTGTACACCGAGGCGCTTGGTGTTTGGAAACACGGCGGTGTGAAGATCTCATCCGTGTTGCAGAGGTGTTTGTAACCCAGTGCACGTAGGACGCACGACGCACAGCTGGCTGCTTATGTTTTTCTACTTCTCGGATGAACCTTGTTTCCGGATAAGAGCGGCGGAAACAAGCTCAGGCCACGTGACATAGTAGAGGCGTGTGACCTCGACAGTGTAGGCCAGTTTTCTTGGGGATCGGCTACGTTGGCGTATTTGTATCGCCAACTAGGATTTGCGAGTCGGGCTGACGCGGCAGGTATCACTGGGTGTCTGACTTTATTGCAGACCTGGATATACGAGTACTCTCCTGCATTGCGACCACATCGTGACCCGGTTCCTATTGATGAGGGGATGCCGCGTGCTTGTGCGTGGATTTGTCCAAGTTGTCCCTCCTCCCCCGGCATGCCCGATGAAGGCGGTCCGATCTGCATCGTCGAGGGACTACGTCGTGTATTGGCCTTCAGTATGATTGTATAAAGCCTTATAGTTACGCACTTACGATTCATATGAACAAATTTTTGTGGCGTTAATGTGTTATTACAACAATGCCCCCATCATTAATGAAATTCCAATTATGCCCTTCCCTTATTTTTCATTTTCTTGCTTTCACTCTCAATTATCAACTGCTCACCATCACTCATTTCTTCTCTATCTCTCTCCTCACTATCGCTATCTATTTCCATTAAAGCGTGCTCCTGGGTTTCCAAAAGGATTGATCGAAAACGGGTGGCGATCTCGACAATGATGTTGGTGCTTGTTTTACAATGGTTATTATCGAGGAAATCGGACTTAAACGCCCTACCGATCCTGGTTCGGTTCATTTCCTTTTGTTTTTTTTTCTTCAGGTTTAAACATTGATTTTGTTCATTCTTAATGTCTAATTGAGGTGGCTAATTGGGATTTTTAGGGAGTAAATTGAAAATTGATGCGTTTAATTCACCAATCAAGAGCAAATTAAGGTTTATTTTTTCAAAGTTCGCAACATCAAACAAACATCTAGGTATTCTATTTTGTTCTTTAAAACTATAATTCTTTGCTATTTATTTTCTCATGAATTAAAAAACATAAGATAATTTTTGTATATATGCAATACTAATTTATTGGAATTGTGATTTCTGTATTGTTTGTACTTTAGTGGAGAAAGTTAGGAGATTTATGGAGCAAATGGAGTTTGAAATACTACATACTATGTCAATGATATGTATATTGGTATTCAGCTCTACATTTAATGGGTAACATAATAACATTTATTTTTTTGACTGGTAGATTTTGTGGTAAATTATTTGTGACTTGATTCTTGGTGACTATGTAAAACTATCTAGCTTCTGAAATCTTAGTTTTGTCCCATCCTAGTTGGTGAGAATTTTCTTATTTTGTTAATAGATTAAAGAAAATTGAAGGGGTTCCTCCCATGTGTGACCACTACTACATGGAATGGTTCAACCGGTATTCGCACCCGAGGTTGATCGCAGATCTCGACCACAACGATGATGATTATATGCCACCGCCTACTGCCATGGAAGCGGTATGTCTCATAAAATATTTATCGTTGTTTTTTAATTAAGTTTTATATGTTGTTATTGTATTTCATGTTTTATTTTTTGTTGTATGTAGTGGATGGGAAAGATAATGCAAGACGTACAGAAACTCTCTCTGGAGAAGGACAGCATGAGTGCAACAGTGAGAGCTGCTGTTGATAGTCTGGAACATACCCTTGCGCATTGGGAGTCGGCGTCGAAGAGGGATTACTGATGGTTTTGGCATTTTATTTATAGAGCACTTTAAATAATATCGTTTTAATTTTTTTAAATTGGACATTACGTTTTAAGTTTGTAACATTTTAGATTGTTGTTTTAGCTTTCAACTTTGACATATTATCATTGCTGTTTTTAAATTTTGACATAACCGTTCGTGGATCCGCGCAACTTACCCATGCAACATATAAATGTAGTAAGCAATACAATATATATAATTAATGTTCTCATTAAAAGAGCAACGTACAAATAAGGTTACATAGAAACAATGTAAACATGAAAAACTAAAATGCAGCTAGGGTGTTCCATTCGTGGATCCGGTCATGATATAGCGCATCCCAACCCTCTACGCTCGCTGTGCGAATGGTGTACCACCGAGGTATAATCGGTGGCACAGGAAAATCGGATGACATGTCTAGTCGGATGAAATGTTTGTATGACGACCCAAGAAACGCAATAGCTACCTCTCTGACCAGTGTAGTGACAGTCTCACGCAAACGCCAAGGGAGAACCGTGGTACAAGGATAATAAGCTTGACAGTCTCCACCATAATATTATATATTATAATAAATACATTTAACGGATAATACATTTAATTTCTATATTTACACAGAATTAACACAAAGTTAAAAACATAATTATGTATAATATTATTCATACACATACACATACAAATTTTAAACACAATCATTTATAAAAGTCACATAAACAATTAAATATTTTGGTATACATTAACACAAATCTACTCACAACATAAATAAAAACATTAAATTATTAAACTTAATTTAAAAAAAAAAACCGTTTTGAATTTTCAATTTGAAATAAATTCATAAAAAAAAATAAATAAAACCATTTCCAATTCTTTTTTAATACAATTTCGAATTGTCAAACTTAATTTTTTAAAAAAACCATTCTCAATTTTCAAACTTAATTTTTTAAAAAAAAAACCCATTTCGAATTTTCAAACTTAATTTTAAAAAAAACCATTTCGAATTTTCAAACTTAATTTTAAAAAAAAAAACCATTTCGAATTTTCAAATATAAAACAATTTCGAATTTTTTTAAAAATTCATTTTCGATTTTTCAAATTTAAAAAAAAAAAAAAAAAAAAAAAAAAACCAGGGGCTGGCGTCTGCCACGGCCGCCATAGCCACTGGACTAGCGCCTGGCAGGGCCGCCACAGCCACTGGACTGGCGCCTGGCCAGGACGCCTGTCTAGTGGTGCTGGCATCTGGGCTGGACGCCGATGCGGTGGTTCTGGCGTCTGGGCTGGACGCCGGTGCGGTGGTTCTGGCGTCTGGCTTGGACGTCCATGCTATGGTACTGGCGTCTAACCTAGGCGCCAGCGCCACTGCACGACCACCTCTTTCAGACGCCTTTATGTAAACCGTGAATTTTAACGGTGACTTACCTCGTTTTCCGTCGACGACGACGTACCTCCGGCGTCCCCCGCTTCTCCGGCCTGCCCTCCGGTCTCCCCCGGCGACCCAGTACGGCTCCACATTTTTTAAATCGAGATTTGTTTAATTTTAGAAAATGGGCATAATTGTCATACCAAGTCATATTTGTGGGCTTTATATGGTAATTTGAGGGCGATGTTAAACAAATCCCTAAAACTATCGATGCCTTTGTTTTTCAAGTAGAGTAGCTCCAATTTCAGTGCTGCTAGCATTTTCTATAAATACAACAAATTACAAGGGGTTAAAGAATGTTAATTATAATGAAAAGTATAACCATTAATTTGTCAAAATCTTTTGAAAACTAGCTAGATTTGTCAATTGCTCTTACCTATTAAAAAAAAATTCGATATTACACTTTTTCTTTTTGACAAAATATATAATAAAAAATTAAAAAAAATTAAATATGAGAATAATTTGTCTAATGTGCAAAAACATTAAGTACATGCTTTTCTTACTATTATTTGTCATGAATTTTAAATTCCTAAAGCTAAATGATTAATTGTATTGCATTTATGTGCACATATATAATACACACTCTTATACACAGTACACTCAAACAATTCATATATGAGTAGTAGTAGTTAAAAAAAAAAAAAAAAAAAAAAAAAAAGATTGGTTGCACTCACTTGGAGACATGCAAAACAACACTAGGACCAGAAGCAAAAAGAAAATTGAAGACTTTCCCATATTAAAAATTATAAGCTTTTTTGTTTAAGAGAAAATAAAGCAGAATTAAGAGTTTAAGATGTAGAAGAAAGACATTAGTTTATTGGCTATTTATACTAAAACTCTGTTCTTTTTTGAAAGATAATGTCAAAAATCCTCCTCGATATCAAAATTCTCCTCAATATAAACAATTACCTTAATATCTTTACTCATTCTTCATTAAATATCATTGATTTGGGACATTTTGGACTATTAACTATCTCATAAATTATTATTATATTCAAGGAGGGAAGAAAAATATTTGACATTAAAATTATCAATCATCAAAATATTTTACATGTCTTCTTTCTATCCTAATAATTTCAATTTTTTTTATGATTGATCAACAAATTTATTTTTATTATTGATTTTTGCAGCAACCAAAAAGGCGTAGGTGATGTTACTGATGTCCATATATAGCTATAAAACTTTTTAAAAAAAATTCATAATTTTTTAATCTGCCATTAGTGATGAAATGTTAGAATTGTTTATTCGTTATTAAATAATTAGGGTACTTTTAAAAGTATGTATTTGTTTTCTGTTTTTTACATATCTTACTTTACTATGATATTATCAATAAATTTCTTAATTTTGACTTACAATTGTAATAAGAGTTATGTATGTGATGTAATCTCTTCAAGTAAAAAAAAAAAAACAAAGTCAAATCCTTTGATTAGAAACTTGGGATATGCTAGCATTTACGCATATATATAGTTTTTTTTAACACAAAATAAAAGGAGAATATATTGATTAAAAGATTATCCTTACATCAAATATATCATAGGAAAATGTGATGTAGGTAAGCAAAATCCAACCAACACTACTACAACTATAGCAGTCATTACTAGAAAGCAGTAGATAATTATACAATAAGACCCACCTAATAGTGAGAATAGCGAAACTAGAAGTTAAAGGACATCTAACCAAGGAAGAGGTGGCATTAGTTTGCTACTCCAGGTACCATCTCCTACTAATAAACACTCTTAACACAATTTGGAGGAGTGAAGTAAGTCCTATGACCAATGGTTATATCATTGCAATTTCGGCAAGCTCATGAGCAATAAAGTTGAGATCCCTTCTTATGTGAATGATATTTACATCCTCAAGCTTCTTATTCCCAGCAACAACATCATTGATGGCAGCAGCCAATTCATGGTGGATGATAGCGTCCATAGTGTCAAACATCACCTTGATAGGGACGGAATCAGTGTGTAACTCCACCTTCTCCACCTTAACGGCATCAGCCATGGCAAGAGCTGAGCATCTCTGACAGCATATAATTCAGCAGCAAGTGTAGAAATAACATTATACGTATTTGCTCGAAAATCCAACAAACCAAGAGCCATCCTCATTGCAAATGACACCTCTACCTGCAGCAACGTTAATGCTCCTCCATGAGCCATCAGTGTTAATTCTCTTATAACCAAGTGGAGGAAGGATCCAAGCTTGGGGCAAGGAAGACGAAGTGGAAGAAGAGGAAGTAGAAGAACTTGCTCCCTCCTTTCCTTTTCCCTGCATCAAATCATTAGTCAAGTGGTAATCATTGAAAAATCTTGCAAAAATAGCATGAGCATGAAACATTTTACACTAAGGCTCCGTTTGTTTTGATGGAAAACAAATCTAATGGAAAATGAATTTCCATGAAATCCATTTTCTGGAGGAAAACTCAAATTTGGTTTAGTTTTCCTTTGTTTGTTTGTAAGGAAATTCATTTTCCAAGAATCTCATTTTCCTTTGTTTGTTTGGAAATTTATTTTCCTTTTAAAACAATTTTCCTTTTGTTACTTAATATTGTTTGTGAACCTATTTTTTTATAAATTGAACCTAATTAATTTGTTACATGAATAAATAACAATCTTGAAACTTTTATTAATCAAAAGTATATGATTCGGGCTTGTTCGAATCACTACTCCAGATAAAAGCCTATGTAAAAGTTGAAACGCACCAACCCAAATACAAGTGATCAAAAGCCAACAACAAATACAAGAAACTTACAACTATAGTCTAGCAAATACAAATTATAAATACAAAGGTCAATCCAAGTAACGTAACTCATATATAAATACAAATTTCCTTCTCTTTTGAATCTTATATGCCCTGTATCATAATTAATTTGAGAAATGTGAACAGAAGAATCAAGTGATCAAAAGTTATTAATAAGTACTCAAAAGGATCAACTATGGAAGTATGTACACTGGACAAAAAGCTACCCATCAGATATGCAGCTTGGCATTAAACAACAAACATTTCAAATAACTGCATAGGTAGATGGGGTACCCAGATAGATAAGTACACTAGTAAGGTTCAACATTGAGCATTATCTCAGAAGCTGCAGTTGACAGGCTTAAAATTAAAAAGAATACTAGACATTAACAGACACGGCAACACAACCCATATAACAGCATATAGCAGCCAATAGCAAGGGGGCAGGAAAAGCAGCTTCCAGCAGCCTACCAGAAATTAGAGTGGAAGCAGCAAACAGACTTTAATGTTTATAGTTTTTGACAAACTTTTCGATCCAAAGTTTGCGTAGTGGAAAGCTTTTTGTCAAAAATGCTTTTGCAAGCATTTCGCGCTCCACCAAGTGATCAAAAACAGCAACACGCACCCCTTCTTCAATGTCCTCCATCTTCATAATTTCGTCATAAAGCTTCTCCACATCAAGTTGATTGTTTGAAAATTTTTTGAGAGCACTAACCACTTCTTGAAGTTGTGCTGAAATGTGTTCCATTTCCGATCCTTCGTCAGTTCGAGACCTCTTTCGATGTGGCCTTGAGCCCGACGAGGTACCACTATCAGCCTTACTCTCAGCCTTGGAAGGCACACTATCAATAGTCATACTTGGTTGTCCACTTTCCATTGAAGCATCAACATCGATGTCGGAAAATGTCTTGGAGAAGTTCCCCCGTGCTAAATCTTTACCCACTACTATAGCCATCTCCTCATACATATCAATTTTTCTATTCAAAAACTTTTCATATTTTGGATATTCCTGCAAATATAAAACGTTATTAGGGTCATCTAATCCAGAACACCTACACTGCACTCACCAGAACACCTACACTACACACTGCACTCACCACAGCACACACACAAGCAAGAAGCAGCACACCACCATCACAAACATGTTTAGAAAAGGTGTATAAAACAACACTACCTTAACATAAGTAGCATATGCTGTGGGAGATGCTGTCATCATCTTCAAGTTATCGTTCCATCCAAACCCGGAGCTGTTTCGGACTGTTGATATAGCCACCCACGCACTTACGATTCATATGAACAAATTTTTGTGGCGTTAATGTGTTATTACAACAATGCCCCCATCATTAATGAAATTCCAATTATGCCCTTCCCTTATTTTTCATTTTCTTGCTTTCACTCTCAATTATCAACTGCTCACCATCACTCATTTCTTCTCTATCTCTCTCCTCACTATCGCTATCTATTTCCATTAAAGCGTGCTCCTGGGTTTCCAAAAGGATTGATCGAAAACGGGTGGCGATCTCGACAATGATGTTGGTGCTTGTTTTACAATGGTTATTATCGAGGAAATCGGACTTAAACGCCCTACCGATCCTGGTTCGGTTCATTTCCTTTTGTTTTTTTTTCTTCAGGTTTAAACATTGATTTTGTTCATTCTTAATGTCTAATTGAGGTGGCTAATTGGGATTTTTAGGGAGTAAATTGAAAATTGATGCGTTTAATTCACCAATCAAGAGCAAATTAAGGTTTATTTTTTCAAAGTTCGCAACATCAAACAAACATCTAGGTATTCTATTTTGTTCTTTAAAACTATAATTCTTTGCTATTTATTTTCTCATGAATTAAAAAACATAAGATAATTTTTGTATATATGCAATACTAATTTATTGGAATTGTGATTTCTGTATTGTTTGTACTTTAGTGGAGAAAGTTAGGAGATTTATGGAGCAAATGGAGTTTGAAATACTACATACTATGTCAATGATATGTATATTGGTATTCAGCTCTACATTTAATGGGTAACATAATAACATTTATTTTTTTGACTGGTTGATTTTGTGGTAAATTATTTGTGACTTGATTCTTGGTGACTATGTAAAACTATCTAGCTTCTGAAATCTTAGTTTTGTCCCATCCTAGTTGGTGAGAATTTTCTTATTTTGTTAATAGATTAAAGAAAATTGAAGGGATTGATGAAAGTGAAAGTGGGGAATGGTTGAAGGGGAGTAAGCCAACCCCATAAAGGGATCAATACTTATTTTTACAAGTGTTTCTAGCATCTGCTCACCAATTTTGTTTGTATGAAATGATTTTTATGTTTATCAGCTATGAACGATTCGAGAAATAGTTCTTAAAATAGTTTTCAGCTACTGTGATTGATTCTCTCTTTTTCTTTGAGTTAACTGCAAATTTTCTCTGTGCAATATTCTTAGAATGTGTAGCTTACTTTTAGACTGTTTCAATCTGCCTATGCAGGCATGAAAAGTGAAATAGATGTGTGTATAATGACTAATTGGTTTTCTTTAACAAAGTTAGTAGCAATAATTTCATGTTGACATGGGAAAGCTGGGGTAGCAAGAGGATCAAATGGTGAACATATACACTATAGAGGTTAGGAATATCTTATTTTAGTTCTTAGCTATAAGGCAATTTGTAAATTTTTTCATGTTTACAAATTTCTGTCCAACTTCAAGAAAACTTAGCTTTGGATCTTAGTTTGGTCAAAACTAATATTGGATCAACCATTCCAGATAGAATCTCTCTTCTTTTCTTTGTTGAATGAATTTCTTTCAAGGATGCTACGGGTTTTGTTTAGTGTTGGCTGCCTTGACAGAATGCTTTTCTTTCTGTTTGGTAGCTTATCTACGTCATCTGTTATACGTTTTGCATCTTGATTAAATGTATGAATGTTACCCCTTGACTAACTAGGCTATGAGACTTCACTTCATTCTTGAATCAGACATTTTTGTATGTTGCTTAGTCTATGAGCAACGGGGCCATTGGAGAGTTGGAAGGGCTCTCCAAGAATATTTCTACAAGTGAAACTCTTGAGAATTTATGATCTCCAATATTGCCTGAAATGGGGTATTTTGAGGAGCTCTTACAGAGCACTCGGAGAGCTCTTGTACTTGAGCTTTTCCCCTTCCCAAGCTATTTTTCATCTTGCTTAGTTGGGGTAGTCCTGCATATCTTTACTGCCTTACAAATTGTTTAGTGTGTACTGTGCACATGTACTAGGTGGAGAATGTAGAATTATCTATAGCAGCAACTAGGTGACATATTGAGTTTAATATTCCCTTCAAAAGTATCCCATGATATGAATTGTTATTACATCAATTTTGCTGATATGTAGTTCCAATTACGTTTGTGTTATGTTTCTTCCTGAAATTAATACATGTATTTCCACATATCTAAAGAGAAGAAGCTGATGGCCTAATGGGCTTTGAAAAAGGTTTTGAGTGGTAGGATATAAGGAAAAAAAAAGCTGTGGGGTGGGTTGAATTACTGATTTTAAGCGGTTAGTGCATTGTTTGTTCCTTTGTCTTTTCCTTTTTTCATCTGTCCAAAAGATCTTTTTATTTTATAAAAGGTGTATATGATCAACCTCAGTCTTATCTATATATTTGGTAATCCAGTTTGAAATTATTATGCAGAACAACTTCACATAAGCTAATGGTGACATTATTGACTAGAAAACTGTTGAAAGATAGTCTAATAAGCATTAAACAAAACTCTCAATCATTGGTTTATTTTTCTTCCCGTTCTTATCTCCGCACGAGATGTATGTTCATGCTTTTTCATCGGCCATTGGCGTATCAAATAGCAAGCAGTACATTAGTGAATGGTGACTAAAGTGCTTCCATTGAGTTCTCCCCTCTTTTATCGCAGCATGTAGATAGCCGCACATGCACCAACCTGCTGTAGCAATTGCCTAGCAGGCAAACCAGCCTAGCAGCCTCTAGCCACAAGACGCAGCATATTTGAGTAATTTAATTTCTAACTTAACTCGGGTAAATATATGCTGAATTCTTTAAGCTACATTGTGAAATTTATGTCATGCTTTATCTTTGTTTATAATTTGAATTATTTTTCTTAATTTTGAATAATACATTATTCTTTAACTTTGTTATATAATTGGTTTTACAGGATGTAAAGTACATGGAAGTGAGATATATATATTGAAGACAGAGACAAAGAGTTGCTCTATATTAGAGCTTTAGATTTTCTATTCTTTAGATGTTACAATCCCTTCCTCGTGTACTGAATTATATACAAACAATTAGTAGTATTGGTAATGTACTAAATTGTGAATCTACTTAGGATCTTAAGGGTATAGATACATTATGTACTGATATTTCATTAAATATTGTTTTTGGGATTTTGATGAGTTTACAGGCATTATGTTATAAAATCAATTTTCATCTATATTGATGTTCGGCTTTCTTTTAGAATAATTGTTGTCTAATGTTGAGTTCACACATTGATTCATTTTAATTCTTACAGTGTTACTCTTTAAGATACTTGACAACATATTTGTATTATTACTAACAAATATAACAAGTGAAAGGTTGTTGTATATTATAACCTAAGGAGATAGTTTTGAATTGTTTCCTAAGGTTGTAACAATTTTTACTTGTTGCCTTTGTACAATTGTTGCCTTAGTTATCAATTTACATTGGCTTTAAAAACTGTTGCCTTTGAATAAAAATGTGTTGCCTTATGAATAGACAACAGGGGCATAAACTACACCTCATATGTGTTGCCTTAAGTACAAGGCAACACTTTTTTATATAAGGCAACGGTTTCTCACTGTTCCCTTTGCTAAATTTTGTTGTAGTGATTTTAATAAGTTTGACGATATTTTGATTCATTATATGATGTATATCATATGATTTTGAAAAACAAAAAACCAAACGAACTCTTAGTTAGTTGATTTTGCAATTAACTTTTGTAATAATGAATAACTAGTCCTATGACATTCAAGTGATGCGTGTTTTGATATATAAGGCTCAAAAACTTTTATATGGTCTAATTAACTATAGTATTTGTTTTAAAAAAAAAAAAGTTTTTTTGATTTTTGCTAATTTTTTACTTCGTTTATTTAAATACTTATTGCATCTTTTGATTGAATCTATTAGAAACTTATCAAATTACTGTAAAAATTATTTTGAAGTTGATAATTATGAAAGATCAAAAGGAAACCATGTCTAGTAACTGTTGTACATATAATTATTATTATTTTTTCTTAATAAAAGGTGAGTAAAAACGTAACAGATAATAATATAATTGAACAAAGTAACTTATTATCAATTATTAATGATTATTATTGACATTTAAGATTGATTGTTATACTGAATTTTCATGCTTGATACGTTTTTGAGGGGGAATTTTCCTTTTTATTAAGATTGATTGGATATATTTTTTTGTAAATGCTCTTTTTCTTTTGAACAAAATATTCATTAATAAAAAGCCATACAACATCTACAAATGAAATCTAAATAAACAATTATATAAAATAGAATTAAATCAAGGTTTCCTTCATCAAAAAAACTACGATAATTGAAGTAGATCTTGGAATGTGGTACATTCTTCACAAACATCGCTGAAATATGCAGCCTCTTCGGAAAGATGGTCTATCTAACGATTTGCTGTAGCCATAAGGATGATTATGATATAATTTGCTTGCACGTATTTGATAATTCGACAACCGTTGCGATATCGAACAGATCTTTACCAACGAACTGATTAATAGGGAAAAATATGATTACTTTTTTTTTATAAGCCCTAACACACATATAAACCATAACGAAAAATAAACAACTAAACTAACAAAAACTAACGACTTCACCATAGGGAGATAGTCCATCATAGGGAGATGGGCATACATCTACAAAGCAAAACTATAAGAAAAACAAGTGAAAGGGTCGAAAATAGTCTAATTTCTCAAGAAATTAGACTATTTTTGGCCTAAACAGCCAAAATTTTAACCCTAAAATAAAAGAGAGGAGGAGAGAGGAAAATATCTAATTGCTATAAATGCTCTTTTATTTAAAGTTTGATTGAACTCTTAGTTGGAATGATCATATTTTTTCCTTACATTAAATAATATACCAATTACTTTAAATAAATTTATTTTCTTTATATATTAAAAAAATGATGAACAAGGGGCACTATGGGTACTTCACAATTTGGACGCAAACTTTTTACTCCCCTCCCCCCTTGGCTTATATAATCTAGTAGTTTTTATATCCACGCGATGCGTGCGTCAAACAATATATAAACACACACACTCAGAGAGAGAGAGAGATGTGTGCGTGTATGTGTGTTATCTTCTCTCTTCTCTCATGGTGTGAATTTGTTGGCCAAATATTTAAATTAAAATACATGAAATTTTTAACATGAAATTTCTAAGGCAATTTGCACCAAATTATGAAAAATGAATTACGGCAAAGTACTGTGTAATTTTTGTAATTTTTTTTAAGAGAGAAAAAGATGCGAAATAATATTTTAAGACAAGAAATAATTAGAAAATTGGACTAATTATCGAGAAATCAGAAATGTATTGGGATGGTAAACTAATGAGAAAGACAAGTTTTTTTGCAATTGAATTTTGAATTCGTATGTGTAAACAATCAACTGATCCGGGGAGTTAAAACGAGGGGATAAGCTAATTGATATGACATGTTGCTAGTCATCAAATCAGACAAGTGGACGTATATAAGCAGATATATAAGCAAATCTAGGAGACATAACAAAAAAGGCAAATAATCTGACTAGGAACTAACTGAAGAAAATTAGTGGCACCTCCACTAATTTAGCTTGGTGGGATTTATATAGTTATAACTCTTTAATTATTTTATCAAGTTTAAGTGTGCAAAGCATGAGCTTAGCACGCTCTTCTTCTTTGTTTATTGCTAATTAAGTATGATTATGAAACTATATATTGCCCATTTTAAGGTTAGTGGAAGATAAAGTTAAGGAGTTGAATATGGATTTTTCTTCGTCTCACTTTATTTGGGTGAAGGGGAGTAAACATAGAGAAAAAAAATAATGATTGATGAATTATAAAATTTATATATATACAAACCAATATTTTCAAATTATAAAATTCAGTATTTAAATATATCTACTTATATGTATTGTAATATTGGTTTGTATCTATATTTGTCACTTTTTAATTTTTAACTTTAAAAATACATACTTGTGTGTATTTTTTTTTCACTTTTTCTGCCTAAGGCCTTGTTTGGTTCACCTTATTTTTACTGATCTGATCTGGTCTGGTCTGATCTGATTGTCTGATTTGACCAAATTTTGACCTTAAGTGTACAATAATCTATTAGGAAAAAATATATCAAGTGGGATCTTGTTAGATTCGTAATAATGTGTAGTTTATTAATATGTAATTTTCACAATTTTTTTCATTACAAAATTAAGAATATTTAGCGATAAAAAACCGCACATAAAACGATGTTCTGATCTGAACTTATTTTTTCTGATCTGATTTGATCTGAACTTATTTTTTCTGAAATAAGTAAAAATAAGTTGAACTAAACAAGGCCTAAATACTAAGGTTTTGATCAGAAATATGAACTTAGACAACTTACACAGTTACACATACACAAAATATAATATGCACAAAAATTTACAGACATTTCACATGATGAATTATAAAGTTATCACAAGCATTCACACCTACTACTTACAACATTAAAGTAGTTTATCATTCTATTCACCTAATAACATACTCCGTATACCAAGCTATTTTTTATTTTTATTATATTTTTTTTTAATGACAGGATCAAGCTAAACTGAGTCGAGTGGGAAAGATATCAAAGATTGCACCTTTCAACCTTGAGGTTGGGAGTTCAATCCCCACTAAAGACACTTTGACGGTGGGGATCCCTTACTCTTTTGCCCTTACTCTCAATGTGTTTAACCCGCATATACTGAATCAAAAAAGCCGTGAGATTGAGATTCGATTAGGATTACCTTAAAAAACATAAGTAAAATAAACATACTCCTTATAAACCACACGAAGCAGATCACGTCAAACAAACAAACGATGATCATAATAAGACTCCTCAAAATAAACCTATAGAAACTTAAATAACTAAGCCTAATTGCTTTAATCAAGGGCCAGTTAGCATAAAGTCTATAAAAATATTACTCGTATCCGCAAAAGAATCCCACTACAGTTTGTATCTTTGAGCAACGAGCTTCATGCTTTATGTCTATGAGACTATGAGCACCCAATATTAAGGCAAAGTCCGACTTTTCCTTTTTGTTAGGATCAAATCTTAACCATTAATCAATTTATTAATCGTCAATAATTGAGCACCATTAGCACCAATTAAGCTGCAAAATCACAAAAAGAAATACTACGCAATTTTAATTTTTCAAAGAACAAATTGTAGTAACACATCTATACTCAACAGTATGCTACATGAAGTACTACATAGGCACAAAGAATTAATTTCCAAAAATTCATATCTGTAAAGATTTACCATAATTTCATGCAATGACATTTGTAGGAGTATCAACTTTGTATTACAGAGTATGTATTGTGATTGTATTAGGACCTAGTGTAACCAGGGGAGAGTGTGTAACTATTACCCTCATTACGAAGGTAATAATTCCTCCATCTCTCTCTTTTTCTCATGGCATAATTACCTTATTTCATTTGTAAACATCATGCCTCATACAACACCACCTCTAATTACTTATGTTTTTTCAAGTTTGACTTTTATTACTCCCTTAATATATTACCCCCAATTCAAGCAAAGTCTTAGAAGTAGAGCAATCTAGTACAAGCATTTGTATTACCCTAATTATGATCGACAATTCGACTTGCATGCCCGTTGTATAGTACACGCAACAGGCTTTCAATACTGTCCCAAGTTTTAAGTGTCACTCTGTATATATGTGGGGAGTGATACGTACTGATAAGTATGCTGTATGCATGCCCATTTTATAGTACAAGCAAGTTCTCGGTAGAAGTCCCATCTCTCAACTACTCCGTACTATACAAGTGCCCCGTCTCGTTTTCAGTCTCTACCATAGTATCCTTTCCTTAATTATTATTGATCATTAAAATTCTATAGCTTAGCCATATTTTGTCCAAATTCCTTAATTTATAGTATAAGATAATGAAGTTTGAAAATTATGTATCCTTTTTATTAGAGCAGTTCGTCTAAGTTCTTGATAAGGTTTTATTACCCAATTTATTGTATAATTTCCTAATGGGGAACGAAACTATGGGAGCTACGTGTGTATCTTTGAAGAAAGCTTTTTTATTAGTTGATAATCATGCATCTCAATTTTAATATTGCCATTTTTTTCATTTAGTATAACAAAACCATTAGTCTATTTTTCCTAAATATACAACTTCTTTTCCTGTTTTTTTTTTTTTTTTTTTTTTTTTTTTTTTTTTTTT